CCCCGCAACAAAAACAACAAACAAAAGGTTCATTTTCATATCGACCAGTACTCTGCAGCAATGTAACACAGTACAGACTGTCTCTCTCCATCAACCCCTCACCCACCAACTCAAAATTAGCGAAAGGTCTATCTTCAAATTTTCTCTTGTCCCACCAGATGATCAAATAAAGATATGTTCTTGTTCCGTTATATAAATAGTCCTTTAAAAAGGCTTTGTGTCTTCCTATTTTGTCCGATAAATATTCTGTTACGGTGGTGTGCACTTCCATCTGGCTCTATCGAAGAGTCCTGTCTTCTGATGCAATGTTGTCTCCACCCCCACCTCCTTCACCCCCTCCCCAACCCCGCACACAGAGCCATGTTCAACAGTCTGTGTGCCTCCGACCACCTGTTCTGTGACAACCCTCAGCCGCCCCAACCTGTCGAGGATCCCGTACCAGGCCAAGTACCCGGACCACAAGGACCTGTCATAGGACCTCCACTGGACACCCCCGCACCCCCACCACCTCCACCACCGCCAACAACAGCAGCAGCAGCACCACCACCGCCAACAACAGCACCACCACCACCGCCAACAACAACAACAGCACCACCACCACCGCCAACAACAACAACAGCACCTCCACCACCTCCCACTACAACAACACCACCACCTACCACTACCACACCCGCCAAACAAGGTAAACGATTATAACAGCATGTCTTAATACTAGATAACCAATCACGTGATGTTTTACAAGCAGTTAGCCAATCACAACATATCTTTATACCAGTTAACCAACCACAGCGTGTTTTTAAAACCAGTTAGCCAATCACAGGACACATTAATGCAAGACAACAGTAAATAACAATAAGGGTAAACCATCCCACTCGCCAAATCCTTTATAAGTACTCATAGGGGGTGCCTACATACACGATCGGGTCGGGTCGGGTCGGGCCCATCAGGTAGTCGGGGCTAGCCAAATTGAGCGCGCAAACCGGCGATCTTGGCACAAACCGATCGACTCAGTCGGGAACCTACAAATACAAACGCGTTTGTTTTCAGGCCTGCTAATCGCGTGATCGGGAGGTTAGCTGCCAATCACAACAAGGCTGAGTCGCATGTCCATTTTGACCCATGAATACATTAAGTAGGTACTCTGGGAATTCCCGGTTTCGGTCTCACGCCTTTGACCGTCTTCTCACTTCTCAAAGCGGGTTTGGAGCGCTCATAGGCCTAGAGGAAGAAGGAGACGAATACGAAGAAGGAGGAGGAGCACTACAGAGGGAGGGTGGTGAGAGTGACAGGGAGGGAGAGAGATGTGTTGAGAGATATATGCAGAGACCTAGATCTAGATCTAACATTGCTAGATCTAGGTCTCTGATATGGGAAGTGAGAAATAGACAAGAAAGGAGAGGAACACCAAAGCAAGCAAGCAAGCAAGCACTCACACACACACA